TCATTAAGATTGATAACCCCTCGCGCAGAAACACACGAGCGTGCGACACGTAAAGGAGGTAACCGCGAAATGTATGCATGCAGCCGCAGGCCATGGAAAATGATGTCATTAATTGTAACTAGCACGTGTTCCCATCGTTGAATGATGTTACCGATCGGATACTGGATACGTCAGTTTCATTTAAGAAAAGTTAACGCTTAATTAAAAGCAATTGCTCCGAACTTATTGGAGATCAGAGAACGCTTTAACGTCGACAAGAAGATATACTGTATATCATCGTGTTCAATGGTAATCGATCAAGCATTCAGATTAACGAATAATAACGTGTAACGAATAAGATAACGTGTTCTTCAACTTTCCCTGTAGAAAAGACTGTGGATCGTGAGGATTGCGATTACACTGCGTTCTAGCGAAACCCATTCTGGATCGTCTCCAAAACTATTATAGAAAACGGTCGCGCTAGGCATGACGTGATAATGAGGCAGAGTCCCTAATCGTTTATTTTGAATCACCCAGAAACCGTGAAATCTATTGGACAAAGAACGACGTTGATTGTGAAATCTGTCGGATTTAACATTTCCCTGTGCCATCTAGAATTTCTTGTTACGAAATACGGAAACAAATCCATTCAATTTTCCTCTTAGCAAATTACGTTTTGCTTTATCCAAGCATCGGAAAGATAATAGCGAGACAAAACGTAATTTGGTAGCCCAAAGGAGACTGTAATGCGTGTCATAAACCGTCGGCTATCGGCGACGGTGGATCGCGTTTGGTGGCACGGATAATGCGATTAATAAGTATTGCACTTTGTACGCGTGGAACACGACGAGACGGGTACGATCATACGACGATGACGTTTCACGGTTTTTCTCTGATGTGCAACATCCGCTCGCGTATACCGTGCGCACGCCTGTGTAGTCGTAGATATTAACAGACAGCGAAGATGAGAGAGAGAGGTAACGAAAGAGAGAGAGAGAGAGAGAGCGAGGGAGTGAGTGAGAGGGGGTCGGTGGGAGGCAACGGAAGAAAAGCATAAGAACCAAGCATGCAAAACGTGTTGGAAAAGGTGGGGTGCTCACAGTGCGTTCGAGCAAACCCGAACGGAGCTTCATTCTGGCTACCTATTGTTCTTGCTGACGAGTTACAAATAACGCCACATTGTTTCACTTCAACGGAGTTACCAGAGCATTCCACTCGCATTGTCCGACATCTCTCTTTTTTAAAGAGAAAAATTGATTCATTTTCATTTTTAGTACCAGATCTCTGTCGATGAAAAATCGATTTATTGGAATTTTACCCGCGTTAGTATTCAAGAGTTATGTTCTATGTAATTTTTTTTCCCAACGTTTACCCCGTCCGTCGTAAAAAATGAGGACGTAATCGTGTCCGAGCGATCGGATAAGAGTGATCAATGATATTAAGATTGAGGTAAACAATGGTATTGGAATCATCCTTACATATAGCCAACCTCTTATCGTTAATCTCCATCGAGATACACTCGTCATCCGATCGTTAACTTCTTGTATCGTCGCATTTTGAATATTGATGTTTCACCTTCGCCATCGACCAGATTTTCCATCGTATAATGATCAATGCGATAATTGATATAATAATTAATGTTGCGGTATTGGACGTGGAAATGTGCGTCGACTGTACTTCGTCAGAGTCGTGTATCGGCTGAAGTGTAAGGGAACGGAATAATCCCGAAGCGACGGGCGTCGGCGGAAACTGTGGAAAAACACGAGGCACACGGGTAAAATTCCTACGTGGAGCAGAACCGGGGTTTGTTCCCACTGTAAAAAGTCCCATGCTAATTCACCGCTGAACGCTTGAGAACTCAGCACGGATGAATGCCTCGTGATCCTCCGGCCGAGCTTTTGGACATCCGATTATGCTCTACTACGAGCTGCCCCAGTGTACTAATAAACCTTCCCCCACACCCCATACCCTTGTTATTCTTTAAGGCTTCGAGCCAGAAGAAACTTGTATTCTTTCATCCGTCTTTCAACCGAGGTATTAACAACACTTATAAATGTACGTCTGAAGTTAAGAGGAAACTGTCAAACAACTACGACGTCTACGAGTAATTTTATTATAACTTCTTTATGAGCGTGTATAAATGTTGACAGACCAGATGATGTTTATATCAGTCTGTCGAGTTAACAAAATTATGTGTCGAGTTATCGACAGACGAGCATGCAAATTATTAAGGTATGCGATTTGTGAGCAAGATGAGAGTTCCCTGGATAATTAAGTTGGTTGATTGGCTCCTCTTGGGATATCCACTTAGCTGGGGCGAACCTCTGAGACTTGCTCCTCGCGTGTGGACACTTATTTGCATACGTCTACGAGCTGCGTTATGCAGAAGTTTTAAAAACTATTCGTTCCTCTACTTTATAAGTAATAATAACTGTCATCTTCTGTACAGTTATAAACACATTCTACAAGTACGGGCTGAGTCAGTAAAAAGATATCGTTTAAAATCATTCAGCGGCCATTAATTTCACTGTTCTTACATACAGGCCTGACGATACACATTTTAATCGATTCAAATACAAGCGTAAATTCGTTCAATTAAGTGCATCCACACGCGTGCACGTGCTTGCATTATGAATCGAAGGAATGGATGAATGAGAAACGAAGAAGCCTGCCTCTTTATTCGTAACGAATGATTCTCTTTTATCACGTGCTAGCTGCAACTTGTTGAAACCCGTGTAATGTTAAAATTTAAAGTGAAATCGAGATTGTTTCCACCGTCTGTTCGCGGTTTAATGTACCTCGGGGAGGAATAAAGATCCGTCGTCGTTCACAGTCCGACTCCGTTTCGCTGTGTAACTTATTGCGTGAAACGTTCTCATCAAGCTCACCGAGCGGTCTCACCGCGAAAATGAAGAGTTACGATCCTTGCGTTAAGGAAACGCTGCACCACCGACTTTCGTGGTAACGAAGGATCAAGGTTACCAAGATTTTCTCCTATACGTAACCAAGTACTTTACGCCGTGTTAACGACATTTTTATTACCGCGATGCGCGTCAATAAAAGTGCTACTTCCGTATCTCGTGACTGCAAAATCGATAAACATCGTACAATACTCGTACGTATCAAGTTCGATTTACGACTGTACGCATTATAAGTAATTCTATCGAAAAACCATATAAAAATAATTTGTGACTCGTTAAAACGGAAGAATTTGTTTATTCAACGAGCTTTAGCAAACGCAGGACACGTATAAGAGATGCTCCGATTTAATAAGGGAATTAATCAATTTGTTGAATCGCCGCGCGTGATATTTTTACAAAGTAAAATTGGCAATTTCAGTAATGCGTTCGAACCGAGGTTTGCGGAGTTGAATAACGTTGTTTGTTATAAGCAGCTTTACGAGTCTCGTTAAACTGCAACAGTCAACAACTCGTGGAATCGTGTTAGCCGCTTATGCGTATACATCTCTTTCCCCGAAGCTTCTTTATATTGTTTAAGAAAATCGCGTTGGTCAATGGCTATTTGTATTTATAAAGTTCCTCGAAATCGGGGAAAGTCGTGAAACGTGTTACACGTTGCCATAACTTATCCCCTTCAACGTTATTGCTGTCCTCGTAATGTTTATCTGTTGGCAAAAATGTGGATCGTAATTCTACGTTGCTCGTTGATACAGTTTTCGAGATCAGTAAGAACGTTTGTTATTTTCCACGGTGGTTAAACAGTAGCCCATTGGAAACGTAATAAAATGAGGAATCGATAAAAGTTGTGACAACGTTGATTGCTTGGTGGATTGCTGAGATCATAGGATAATTGATAACAATGCAGAAGTATGAAGAACATAAAATGCAATGTACTCACATTCTATGTAAAGAAATAAAATGATGATCAAATGGCATGTTATAATTGAGAACGTAAATCACATGTTTTAAGTTGACTTTCTTTACTGTATGAATGAAACAGCTTGGAAGACAGGTAGAAATCCGAAGGATTCGCTCTCTTTATTTCACATTCCAAGTGCTATAAAATTTCATGCTACATTTGCCTGCCTAACAGTAAAACCGAAAAAATAAAACCCGAATGCGTCGCGTAACATTGCAGATGTTGTATCTGTCGTGTATCCTTCGATTTTGTTTTATGGTAGGTGAGCCCATGTAGGTAAAACCCAAAGTCATAAAAATTTATAGTCTGCCACTTGAGCATAAAGAGAGACAATCGAGACAATCGCTGAATTGTTACAGCCCCGATTCTATTGCCAATCCGTGACAATCTACCTCATCTGCATATTTCTGCTTATATTTTTCGACACGGTTCAAAAGAATTGACCTATCAGTAAAATGGTTTCGATTTTAGTTGACATTTGGAGCACTTTAAGCGATTCGAATCGTGTAATATTTCTCGTGCACATTCGTGTGTTTCGATGCGATATCTGAAGAGGTTCGGTGGATGAATGAAAAATGTTTATCGTTATATAACCGCGTTACGTAAAGTTGATCCCTGTTATAATTCGTGCCTTTTAGCCTGCGGCGGTGGTCGAGTCGATACTGCAAAACTTTTCAAAAGTTGAGTCAGTGGATCGTGACGGGAATGTAGATTCGATTACGACGCCATGCCGTCTCGGAATTTCCGGCATTGCCAATGCGCTGCCCATCCTGTAATTTTTATTCCGTCTTCGTTGCTCTCCTCTTCGGACAATTTAACGAGGTCATAAATTGTTACTGATAGGAATACGTTGCATCTGTTTTCAAGTATCTACTCCTTTTCCTCCGCAGAAAAGTAGTCTATCGAACGTATCGTGTTAAGTTCATAAATTCTGCATGCACTCTTTTCTTTCATAGGAAGAATTTCTGTTAACCATGAGTACTATTTAAAATTGCATTAATTTTGGTAAAAGGGAAACGTAGACGATGTTTAACGAAGGACGCTATACATCGTAATAGTCTCTTATAGAGATATCTAAAAAGTAATGGAAGGAGAATAATTTGAAGAAAGATTGTAACGGTGCCGATTTGTTGGTCAAGTAGGCCTGCACTTGCGGAGCATCGAAGAACCGAGGATGACGGCGGAGACGGCAGCTCCTTGTGTGCAGGGATTGCAAGGGGTGCAAACTCCCATGGCGGGCCAGACGTTGCAGCAGATGCAGGACGGAAAGTCCGGCGGTTACTATTCCTCGACTTCCGCCGTCTACGATCCGGAATACGCCCGGATGGAGGCCTGGCTGGACGAGCACCCCGACTTCGTCAACGATTACTTTCTCAGGTTATTATACAAAAGATTAAAATTTATATTATATAACAAGTCGATAACCGTTAATCGGGATAACGCGATATCACGTGTCAGGCTCCTTTTATACCTGAGACTAAGCTTTTTTTTTTATTAACTATTAAAAAAATTGACGGCTTAATCGAATTACTGCCTTTAACGAAAGGGTGTAAACTCCCAAGTCGTTTGCTGTTCATTTGTCACTAACAATGGTCAATAACTACTTTTACGAACCGCTTTAATATCGTATAATATTTTTCGTTCCTGTTTTAATACGTGATGCTCATTTAAAGGAGCATTACAATTGAAAGCACGGTGGATAATCCAAGGTACGCGTCTGGAATTAACAAACGAAAAGAGTTCGAGCGGTAATTGTATCGAAATGGGGATAGAAGTTGCCTACAACCGAGGATACGATGCTTTCAAGTGGTAGAAGTCGTACAAATCGAACAGATAAAGTTTCCTCCGTGGCGTAAATTTAAGAACAACAGCCATTGTGCGTGACGTAAGAATATCGCGTTTCTCATTGTCAGTTGCCACGGCGTAAATTTTACATTCCTTTCTTAAAAGATAGTTATCAGTTTTCCAAAGAGAATGTGTGAATAAGGAATTTATTCCCTTAACCAATGGTCTACAAGATTTATGATTTATCGCGTATCATGAATATCAAGATAAGTAGAATAGAATTGACTTCTGATAGATCGATGTAACGTGCATGAAATAACTTGAATTCGCCCTCGTCCTACTTACTCAATAATTCATATAATAGTAAGTAGGCTAGTCGTAAGTTGCAAAATTGAAAATAAGAAAGAATGAATGGGGTATTAGGGTGAATTAGAAATAAGAGGGGGATTGTAACGAGGCATCGGTCCGTAGAAAAGTGACGAGACAGACGGTGGACATGTGGCTGGTGTCGCACGCAACGCCGACATCGTCGTCGAGCAGCTGCGTGGAATTGTCCAGTCCGACCCACGCAGGTGGCACGTCGTCGTCCGGCCGGGGTGGTTCCGGTGGGTCGGGAGCGACGACGCCTGTGCGAAAAATCTCCGCGCACGAGTTCGAACGCGGCGGCTTACTGAAACCGATCGTGAACACGATCGACGGCACGCCGACGTTTTTGAGCGTGTCGCCCGGAGATTCGGGTCAACCAGGAGGTCAGCAAGTTGGCTCCGGAAACGCTGGCAGACCCCAGAGACGGTCCAGACACGAACTCAGGCATCTCGATGAAAAGGATCTCATTTTCGAATTGGTACTAGTTTCTTCATATAATAATTGATACGATTATTTGTATATTAATCGATGCAACATTTCATTTAACAATCCACATGAATCAATCTCACAGGTGAAAGATATCTGTAACGAGCTGGACGTTAGATCGCTGTGTCACAAGATCCTGCAGAACGTGAGCACCCTCCTACACGCGGACCGGGGTTCGCTGTTCCTCGTGCAAGGTGAACGGGGTGGTGGTTGCATGCCCTCGTCGCAGAATCACGACTCGTTCGGTAGAACGGGGAACGGGAACGTCGAACAACGGATGGGATACTCGAGGAGCAGATGTCTAGTCTCGAAACTGTTCGACGTATGCTCGAGATCGACTCTCCTCGAGATGGAGAAGAAGGACGAGATAAAAATTCCCTGGGGCACGGGGATCGTTGGATACGTCGCCGAAAGCGGGGAACCTGTTAACATACCAGACGCTTACAAGGCAAGAATCCTTTTTTTCTCGCTTCTTAATTCTTCCAGTAGCGTAACCATGTAAATGTAGGCCGTTGATTTTTAGGAAAGATAAAACGTTCGTAACGTCAACTTGATAAACGCAATTTAAATTGAGATTTGAGTTGATTTATTTGTGAATCAATGTTTGATAGCTCGAAAGATTGAACGTTTACGTTACCCGCAACGAAGCTAGAACTTACGTAATTCTTGTTGCAATAAAACCTGGTATTAATTAAGGCATGGTTGAACTTTCATCAAACTTATTTCGTTAAAGTTTTCAAACTTCTCGGCATCGATGTTTCTACTAGATTCGTTGGTAATTGATTGCTCGCCGGTAGCTCTGTTTAAATAAATTATTGAAACGTTACCTTCGAATTTACTTCCGTTCTATTTATTTGTACGTTCCAATTTGGTTTCTACGCGCATTTTGAAGTTGTTCTAATTAGAAGTTATTTCTCTTTCGACTCTTAGGACTCTAGGTTCAATCGAGAAATCGATGCGCTAACCGGATACAGAACTAGAGCCCTTTTGTGCATGCCGATAAAGGATTGCAACGGCGACGTTATCGGGGTTGCACAAGTCATCAACAAACTCGGTGGCGAAGGCCAGTTCACGGTACAAGACGAGAAGGTATTCGCCAGTTATTTGCAATTCTGTGGAATTGGATTGAGGAACGCGCAGCTGTATGAAAAAAGTCAATTGGAGGTGAAAAGGAATCAGGTCAGTACATAAATTAAGTACACGCGTGCACGAATATGTAGTCGACATTCGATTGTTTAGTTCCTACCAAAAATTTACCTTCAGTTCTCAACTTTTATTGAAGTTCGAAATTTGCTCGACTACAAAGCGTATCGATCCATCTTTTTTTAATCATCCATTCCATTTATCGTTACACAGGTCCTTCTGGACTTGGCTAGGATGATTTTCGAGGAGCAGAGCACAATCGAACACATGGTTTTGAGGATTCTGACGCACACGCAGTCGTTGATACAGTGTCAGCGAGTACAGGTAAATAAGAACTAAACAAATTTATAATATCTGACACGAAGTACAACGAACTTGAATATTTTGACGAGAAGTAAATCGTTTGGCGTAGGTTCTCCTGGTGCATAAGGCGTCGAAGGGTAGCTTCTCGCGAGTGTTCGACTTCGAGGCGAACGACCTCGCTGGCGAGGATTCGGATTCTCGCACTAGGTGAATGAAGTTTGTAATTACGTTCTCGTTTCTCTTCATTCGATTACTAACAATAATTAAATTGCCACGGAAACCTTATGTGTTATTCTGTTTTGTTCATGCAGTCCATTCGAGAGCAGATTCCCTATAAACGTCGGCATCACCGGTTACGTGGCCACCACCGGCGAGGTAAAAGCACTTGCTAATCGATCAATCTATCCTCGTAGTTCCCCAGTTCTTCTAATAATTGTTTCATTTGATGTATGTAGACGGTGAATATACCCAATGCGTACGATGATCCAAGGTTCGATCCGTCGGTAGACGATGGTACCGGTTTCAGGCATCGCACCATACTCTGTATGCCCATCAAGAACTCGTCGGGTCAGATAATCGGTGTCATTCAATTGATCAATAAGTTCGATGATCTCGCTTTCACGAAGAACGACGAGAACTTCGTCGAAGCGTTCGCAATTTTCTGCGGCATGGGCATTCACAATACGCACATGTTAGTACCGATGGTCGACCAATTCAATTTTCTAATCGTCAGCTATACGAGTTTTCTAAGATCGATTTTGTACCTTGTTTAGGTATGAAAAGGCTGTGATAGCGATGGCCAAACAGAGCGTCACGCTGGAAGTGTTGAGTTACCACGCCACCGCATCGCTGGATGATGCGCAGAGATTAAGGGTAAGTTTAATACGAACAAGAGTTTCGAATTTGTGGCCGTTGTTAATGCGATCGGTAGGTCTTCAAATTCGGTTTCCATGTTTAATTGCACAGGGTTTAAGAGTGCCTTCCGCAGCGCATTTTCAATTGCACGACTTCAAGTTCGATGACATCCACATGGAGGACGACGAGACGTTAACGGCGTGTCTCCGAATGTTTTTGGATCTCGACTTCGTGGAGCGTTTTCATATCGACTACGACGTTCTTTGCCGATGGCTCCTCAGCGTCAAGAAGAACTATCGAAACGTTACATATCATAATTGGCGTCACGCGTTCAACGTCGCCCAGATGATGTTCGCGATATTAACTGTGAGTTACATGATATATCGAATAGCATTGAGTTAATGAATAGATGATAGAGTTGACCGTTCGCTTTAATTATTACAGGCCACGCAATGGTGGAAGATTTTTGGCGAAATCGAGTGTCTAGCGTTGATCATCGCCTGCGTGTGTCACGATTTGGATCACCGGGGGACGAACAATTCTTTCCAAATCAAGTAAGCATTAGAAGCAATTACCATAAGATCGTTCTGAATCTTTTCAAGCCGACGAAGATTCTAACAAACAGAAATAATTTTACGGTTGACAGAGCGTCCTCGCCACTGGCGCAACTGTATTCGACGTCGACGATGGAGCACCACCACTTCGATCAATGTCTGATGATCCTAAGCAGTCAAGGAAATCAGATTTTATCGAACTTGTCACCCGAAGAATACTCGCGAGTGGTGAAAGTCCTCGAAGAGGCAATCCTCTCGACTGATTTAGCGGTTTACTTCCGGAAGAGAGGGGCCTTCCTCAGCTTGGCCCAAAGCGGTACTTACAATTGGGCTTATAGCGATCATCGCGAATTACTCCGAGGGATGTTGATGACAGTGTGCGATTTAGCTGCCATTACTAAACCCTGGCACGTAGAGAAGAGAGTGGCGGAGTTGGTCAGTAGCGAATTCTTCGAGCAAGGGGATATCGAGAGGCGGACACTCAATATTACTCCGATCGTACGTGACAATCAATTTTCAAACATAATTTATTGACTCGTTCACTGGTCCATTGAGAACTAACGGAACGTTCCTCGTATGATATTGCAGGACATTATGAACCGAGAGAAGGAGGACCAGCTGCCAATGATGCAAGTCGGCTTCATCGATTCGATCTGCCTTCCTATTTACGAGGTAACTAGCTTTCTCTCCTGCCGACTACTGCAAAATAATCTGTTGCAAAAATTACTCTATTAAACAATTAAATCTTTCTCGATACACTTTAAACATTTTTCGATGTTGAGATTAATGGGAAACAAATTATTATTTGATAGGCATTCGCTCTGTTATCGGATAAACTGGAACCACTGGTCGAGGGTGTGCGGGAAAACAAGCAACACTGGCTAGAGATAGCCGAATCTAGATGCAAAACGGACAATTGCACAAATCACGACAGGACACGAGTATCCGACAGTGAGGAGGCCAGCGAACAGGCGGACCAATAGTCACGGACGAACGTAAACGTACACGGATATATAAGTAGTATCTATCAACCACCTGTTTCTAGAAACGAACGAACAAACAGGTTTCAATGTCGGAAGAGGCTGCAGGTGATGAACACTTTAAAAAGCTTCGCGCCTTCTTCGAGGTGTCGCGTAAACAATGTGAAGTTTCGACTCGAACAAACTCGTCCCGTTACTCGAGTGTCTTAAAAGGAAGAAACAAAATCGATTCTAAATTGTTGTATGTACGTTTTATACATTCACTTATGAATTAAGGGGAAAAAGAAGAATCAAGGAGGCTAAAGATGAGTTGGTTTAAGACGAATCGGGATACCTTCGTCCTCTTTCTGGTGATAAAGCAGATCGACCCTGAGATGCTACTTTTGTACCTGATCGTATTGTACGTATACTTACTATGGCAGATCTTTGATAAATCCAGAGAGGGCGAAGACGAACGATAATAGAATAAACACGAAAGAACTGTGGAGTCTGAGAATGAAAGCTCGTTCTTCTTTCTATTCGTACGCGACTCTCGTTACGAATTGAAGACCTGTGGCTTCTGACGTTTCGTCCGCGTGTTTAAATTCAATTTGTGAAAGCACGAAACGTGCATGACATCGTTTAAATAATAAATTTTTACTTAAACGATGAAGTAGCACTATGTTTTTTAACTGACTTCTGTCTCAGATGTCCCAATTAAAAGTCCGAGTCATTTTTAATCATTCCGACGGTCAATAGCTACGCGCAGTTTGCTTTCATTTCGTTTTACGTTAACAATACGATTCTCAAGGTAATACATTAGAATCGTAATGTTCGTTCACAGTATTCTAAGCGATAAGAAGACAATATTATTTTTCATTAACGATGAACAGTGATGAATAGGTAAATGAGGAATGCTTACGTAAAGAATAAGTGCACGAATCTCGTTCATCGACAGAACTTACCCGGGTCTTCAATTAAATGGACGAACGATGTTTAAGTAATTAGAGTTGGGCAAACCGTTAGGTTTCTGTATTATAAAACCGTACAATTAAATCTTATTTGACTACGATAAAGAATAAAAATGATTTCACCGGAAATTCTATTATTAGAAAATTAATTTGAGCTGTTCGTTCGTTGTCGGCCCAACTCTCGGAAAGTTACGTCCTGCTTTGCACAGGGAAATTTGTCTCCGATTCACAGACTCGTCTGGGCAAGAAAACCGAGTCTTGCGTGTGTAATTATATAACGTATTCGTGTAAACCAAAGTGTACATTTATATACGTGAAGGTCGGCTCGCGATCTTTATTACTCGATACGGCAATGATTTTAAAATGTTGTCGCGCGTGCTAATTGTTATAATTAGTGGTTGGACGCGGCGCGGCGACGAGAATAAATCTCTTGTCTTACAATTAATCGTCGCCGCGGTTCACCTTGCTTATCTTCTTCTACGTTTTCGTAACGTCGTTCATCGTTCTCTTTCCTCCTCGCGCAAACCTGTCCTTCCTAAGATCAGATAATTTACGAATATCAAGTCTGTTTGTTAAACGTCTAAAATAAATGTATCCGTACAATTTTTTTATGGATAAATGATGAAACGCAGGAAAAAAAAATTGTTTTGTAATTTCGCAAACGAGGGACGGGTAGTTTTGCAGAGACGAGAAGAAATCAGCATCCGTTCGCGTGTGACCGTTACTTATCTATAATGATAAATAGTCCGTATTTCATGTTATGTTCCTTTCGTTCTTCGAGTGTCTACGTTCTTTTTCTTTTTAAATCGTTGATCAATTGTCAATTTCGATATGACTTGGTCGTTAGGAGCGAAGAGTTGTAAAAAGAAAAGGAAAATGTGTGATAAGAGAAAGAGAAGTGAGATGCGTGCGTCTGTTAACATGTATGGGTGAGTGTTTCATGTTGGTGAGATATACATTATGAACAATGTACAGTTTTCGTGTAAATTATTGATACGTTAAAACGGAGTCGTTTAGCGTGTACGTTCACGTTTTAACATTATAGTATGAGAGCCATATATTATACTGAACAACATCTAATATATTAAAACGAGACTAAATTATGTGATACAATAATACGTGGCAATGCGTCTTTCCGCGCTTCCTTCACACACACGCGCACATCTGTTCCTGCAAATATCCTACAAATTAAACCCGACTGAAACACGACCAGGATCGTTCAAACGCTTAGCAAGTATGAAACGAACAGAACTTTTCGTATTCAGTAAAATCATAGGAATATCTTTTCTACGAATCGCTATTTGAAAATGTTTGTATTACATATTTATGTAGATGAAAAGTTCATTGGAACGTGTCCCAATTTATATCTCGTTCTAGCTAAAAATACGAAATCCTTCACCTGTTGCAACTCTTGTTATGAGACACGTATATACATATATGCATACGTATGTATGTATCTTCATACATGCAGCTGTGTTTCAAGTCTTGTATTTATTATTTATTTGGAAATGTTACGGGATTATTTGAATTAGTAAAATTGGCGATAGAAAAATTCGAGTTTTATCCAGAAGAGCAATTCTGGCAAAGAGCAATTTAAGGTAGATTCCGGATCTCCGTCCATCGTTTAAAGCTTAAGTGGAACATTTTAATTGCAGTTCGAAACGTCACCTTAACCGTCGTCGATGAATCATTGGCGGAGAAGATAACGATCACTGAGGAGGACGGATCAATAGTTGACAAATTGTATTTTGCAATGTGGGTCAATCGGTGACACACTACGGGCATCAACGATGTTGTAAGCTCGCCTCGATGGACCTTGATTACGGATGCCAGAAGCATCGCGAAAAAAACGGCCAACGACACAATATTTTTACTATCTTCGTACTTACCCAATTAAATTACCTCGTTAATTTCGTGTATTGTGTTCAATTAGTATCGAAGATGAAAGAAATTGATACATTTTTTATTCAATTAGTACAATATGATATGACTGCGTACAAATTAAAATTTATTCACTTATAATAATAACAATAAATATATATTTTGTTAGTAAAATCTCAGTTAAAAACTTTAAATTCAAACATTGAAGTATCGATTAACATTTTTTTACATTATTAATTATTATCGGTGTGAAATCCTTTTTATAAAAAAGGTCGGCTCGCTAATATTGGAAAAACTGTAGTTTTCCTCTCAGTATTTTTTTATTCAAATAACAATCGTATCGTTCGTTCGACAGCACAACAACCGGCAAAGTAAAAATCACAGTAGTCGGCATTATTTTGCGTGAAATAACGTTCACTATTCCTAGTTATAAAGACATCCCTTAAAACAGAGTAGAGGGATAACAAGGAATAGAATTAAGAACTAACCGAACGTTCTCAAAAAGTTAAGACTCTTAGATTCGCCTACTATGATTTTCAATTTGTTTCCATTTGTTGAATTCAATAATTCTTGTTCGAAGAACTCGTGTCGATCGAATAGAAGATTGACGAGTTATTAAAAGAAAACGCGTTGCTTTCGTTAAACGGCTCGCTGGATTTTTAAATTTCGTATGACGGACATCGTTAATCCGTTCCCGGCCTTGAGAATGCGTTCTTGAACTTCGCAGTGTCTTAAATGTGTTATAGTCTCCCCATTTATTTTAGTGACTATGTCGCCAGCCTGAAGGCCCGCTCTATCGGCCAGTCCTCCGAGAGCCACCTTCGTGCAGAGATAGATTAACCCTTTATTACCCTCCAAAAAACGAATTAAACATTTTAATTATTATTTTTATTTGACAATTGGAGTACAATATATATAAACGAAAAATAAAGAGGCCGTAGGCTGTCAATATATGTTTAAAGCACGAAATGAAACAAATGCGAGCGATGAGAATAATTTGCGAAAATTCGTCGGGCTCTCATCGACTCGATTAATGACTTCCCCCTTTCTCGCAATCACAATCGGAACGATATTCTGTTCAGCGCAGAATTCAGGCCGAGGAAGAACGAGGTCACGCGACCCGATACGAGCGTGTCGATAAAAATCTCCGAAAACGCGAATACTCGCGATTTTTCCAATTATGCACGTGCAGAGAAAGTCGCGTAAGCATCATACCGAGATTCAGAAAAGCGAGCCTCGTTCACGATAATTGTGATTTTATCTGAAGATCGTCGTATCTTACCCTGACAACGGTTAAGGGGAAACTGAAATCAGACCCTCCAGACAATCGGAAGCCCCACGCGTGGTCGCAGGTTTTCGAGAGCTTTATGTCAACGTCCTGGGCAACCATTGCAATTTTCAAGAAATTTCTACGCCTGTAAGGTGAAATTACATTACCATTGATAGTTTCAATAAATTAAAGCCTCCGAATTGATTAGAACGAATATTTAACGCGAGACGAAGCGAACCGAATGGAATTTTAATTCTAAACTTAAGCATAGTTCGTTGCAATCTGCTATGCAAACGACATCGGTCGGTATCTAGTTTCTACGCAAATGACAGCGATTCGAATGCGGTACGGGGGAAGAAGAGAAAACAAGCGACGCGTACTTACCCCAACTAGCACGGCGATCCGAGGAATCCTTTGAATTTTGATAAGAGCGAGGCGAAGAACTCTCGAAAGGCGAGGAGCAGAACGAGTAGCCTAGCGGGAACAGATATCCGTCGATCAACGTTCGCTATGCGACGATGCGCGCATAATAATAAACGATGGCCAATGTCCGAATGTTGACTTCATTGACTTTAAACCACCAACCACTATATCGCCGTTCATGCTATTCTAGAGCGACTTTGAGCTATAGACACCCCGCATGCTATTTCGGATGCAGCGAATCGTTAGGCCTGCGTTAGGAAGTTAAATAAACCCTTTTTTAAATCTCGTTTACAGTTCCTGCCTGGTTAGTTTCTGTCCGCTCGGAAATAGAATTTTCTGTTTAAATAACTTTCGATAATATCGTTTACATTGATTTCAGAAAATTCAGTTCACAGCCATCGTTTCATTACACGTTTATCCAGAGAGATCTTTTTCGCCTGGAAATGCAATCAAAATACGCTCCATTAGCATAATTATCGTGGCCCTTATTTCTCGGAGATAACCCGAAAGCGTCGTCGCCGTCGACGAGCATTTTCTTCGTCCCCTCGGAAACGCGGCTTTCTCATTGAAATGCTCGAGTACTGCCACGAGTACACTCGGCGCTTGTTTCTAAGAACTAAGAACGAGCCACACGCAATTAAATACAGCCTGTTTCGGCCTATGATTAAGCGACTCCGCCACTTTTAAGTTTAATCGAACCTCCAATTGTTTTGAACAGCCATCGAAATTCATTTTCTAATGACACTCGTATTCAATCATGAGTGCACTTTTGCATTTAAATTCATTGCTCAGTTTTATAGAGGATGTGATTAAATTCATAATGAAATGACAAATAGCATTAATTTATTTGTTAAAACTAAAGGGTGGAACGGGCCTGTTCGAAGATTGGCGGGGTTGTATTAGCTAGATACTAGTAGGCAGCGAGGAGCGCGCAGCTAGGCGAAGTCGGACCAGGACCAGGAGGAGAGGCGGTGAATTTCCTCCTCGAGTGTGGAGGCAAAGTTTGATTTCGCGGAGGGCGCACGCCCCGCTTTCCAGCTGCACAACCGACTGGTCTTTAAGCAGTCACGAACGAGCCATCGTTCGTTGCAGCCGTGGCGAACGCGAATTTCGTTTCCACCCCGGTCGCCACCTCCGCTTTTCTATTTTTCATCAGTGAAAGGCAATCACCTCGGGTTCGCCTGTTCGCGAGGATCGACTAGTGTAGTTTTGAGTCAGTCAGTGAATCGGTGATTCAATTTTGGATGAACGCTTTAGCGTGGAGGAGATGTTGCTGGGAGTAGACGGCCGTTCGCTGTAAGTTTAGTCGAATTACACCCTTGAAAAATACAAACAGGCCCCGATGATTGTCATCGAGGTCCGTCGCGTCGATTGCGAGTTAACGCAGTTTAGAAACTCCGGGAACAGACGTCTGCGAGCTAGCAACTGTAGTTTGGTTTATTGAATTAGCTTGACTGACGGAGATTCGGATGCTAGCGACAGCACTAATGAATTAGGATGCGAATACGCGGAATGCGATGCCGAAACAGCGAGCGTAAATCAATCACAGTATAAAGTTCAGGTGGGAAGAATTTGTTGGCCCCCATCGAATGTTCAATCCAAATATGTTTAGATCTCCGAATATAATAAATAACGACACTTATTATTTCTAATTTCATAGACTTTCCATGTCTCATAACTCACAAGATCGATACTTACATGCTTTATAAATATAAAGAAGAAAGGGAATTTATGTTTAATTGAATAAGTTGCTCGTAACACGTTTGAAAAATAGAATGTATCGATTTTTAATGGTAATGAATGATGGTGTTGCTAAGCGCGTATCGTGCCGATGCAACACGTTCTCCTCTTTAAAATTGCATGTCGATCACAATAAAATATCCGCGTGGACACGCGTTCCTCGAGATCATTACTTTTCGATTCTGCGTGATACGATTGAATGACAGAAAAATGATTAAACCCGTTTCTACCGTCGCTTCTCGAATATCGAATTAATTATTGTTACGCATGGCCCGACGACGTTACCTAATGGAATATCGGCTCGGTATTAATTGACTTGAAATTGCTCCCGCTGTAATAAGATCTGCCGTCCCCGCGTATCGATGAGGGTAACCTGTTGGCAACGATATACAAGCAACCAGTACGTTGTCTTTTTAATCTGAACCGTGTAAATCGAACGTTCTTTTCAGTTAACACCGTACGGATATTTGGACATTTTGTATAAATAATTTTACTATTAATTTAGATATAACAGGTTTTCATCATTACTTCATCATTATTTTACCTAATTGTGTTGTATAGTCAATTAATTTGAAAATTATTTCACACCAAAATTGATTAATTTATGAAATTGTTCTTACTATAGCAAATTCAGAATCAGACTTAATATACGTAACGGGATGAAAATGATCAACTGAGTAATGAAATTCTAATTACTAATCGACTGGTTTCAACCATTATTCCATCTCATTATCTGGTAAGTGAGAGACACAGAGGGTCGTTATATAAGAAAGTAATCTCTTAGGTTCTCATCGCGCGTAACACAGCTCCGATTCTGATTTTGACCCATTTTTATCTGTGTGCATAAAGTAGATACATACGTCTACGTACCGTGGAATCTCGTTAACGTTTGAATCAAATGGGATTTTTATTGTAAAAAACCGATATCAGTTTCGACCACTTCATTGTTTCTTGATAGCCGAGCTATTTCCATCGTTTTTCCCTTTTGTTGCCTCGTTGGCCGTCAGCCACGGGTAGCTTTTTGACACTCCGTACTAGTCCATGGCATGCCGATGCTTTATCGTCCAAACAAGGAAACGAAATCGTGTAAAGGAAGTTGCAAAATATTTTCATTGAATTAGATGATCAAATCGTCAAATAATCCATTTAGCACAATTGCTTAACATATACACAAAATTATTTAATGTACACTACATTTTTATCTATCCATGTCGCGATGTAATATTTATTAAAGAAAATCGCGATAAGACGCGAAGCTCGCGCTAATAAGAAACACTTGGCCTCAGCACCCAAACACCTGACAATTAAAGAGCGGGTAGCTAATAAAAAGGAAAAGAAAGGCTTACGCGGATTGTTGTGCAGCCCTTGATTCTAAACAGGCCGATATCCATCGAGGGCCGTTCTATCCGGTTCTATCGATTTTTCCTGAAATCCGTTGTTGACCTTAATAGCCGACTGTCGTTCCTATCTCGATCCAGGTTGCCTTCGAACGTCGAAGATCTTCTTAAACGTATCGGCCACGAAAATTGCTGCCGAGCATGGTTCTACCCGACGATAAATGCTGGATCAATTCCTGATTAAACGAAAGAAAAATGAACCGACACGTTTAGAAGTTTTCTTACATCGAACAGGTCTATAAATGTTGTACATCCACCCACGGCGGATATTAATTAAATATTTGATTCGAATTTAATTAGGGGAAACATTCTAAAATTTGAATTCGCCAGTCTCTGAATCGAAAAACTCGTTTGTCCAAGTGCAGTCAGCGTAGATAAACGTAAGGAAGGGAATGATATTCCATTTGTGCAGTAGACATCGCCGACAATGGTACGAAATTAAATTGCGTCGACTCAAAATGCTAGGTGGGTCTATTCGATATCCAGCTTGAAGAAATACTTGAAGCGATCGGAACCAATTTCCGGCTTTATTGCCGTCATCGCGTCGAGTGGTCGCGACGACATTACCGTTAGCTTGTTCCAACTAATGAAACGTTACACGTATTCGTATCGGCGATCTGTAATTGCCCGATTATTCAGACGCGATTCGCCCATTCTTCCTTTAAATCGAACATTTCACTGACTCACTGAAGGGTGTCAATGCAAATTGCATTAGCGTTCGATCGTGTCTCTTCATTTTTCATGCACTTCGATAATGTAAAATCCGAATCTTATTAAAACTCGTGAAAATAATGAACCACTATTGGTTCAAATACAAGAACATGTCAATTTAATAAATTCCGTCAAGTAGGAAATACGTACGACAAATCTTTTTATTTATAAATGATTCTAGTACCATTGCAAGCTTCTGGGTTTTAGTGGCTGATTAACTAGACGTGAAAGCTTGTATCGCCCCAGGCAGCGTAGTAATCACTTAATATCTGTAATAAGCTCGGCTGTATATTAGTGTTTGCCAATAGAATCGCGTGACCGGGCTTCGTTCCGCCTAATCGTAACGTAATCAAGGAAAGCAATACAAGTAGCCGTACTGCACTCAATTTGTACCACCTACGGGCCACGGTCGCCCCTTTCATTCTCGAGTATCTACGTTCTACCCCTAGCGTGTATAATGGCTCGCATACCTACGTACGTACATAGTGCTCGCCTGTCGCGTGTGAAGCGAGACAAAAAGGCGGCCTACACTCCAGCCAAGTCGTTTACCAAAGAACATATGCGATACATGCGTGGACCCGACAATAAGTGTTCGTGGAATAAACATGAAACTGGGGAGAAATTTGTTTCCTCATCAAATATTTCTCGCGGGCAACGTAAACAATTTTATCGATTAATAATCGAAGGGTGCCGTAATGAGCATTTTGTATAAACTCAATTACTCGATGCAATTTCGCAGTTTATCCATTAAATTGCACGCGGGCGAAAACTGGTATAATAAGAACAGTTCTTAACATCATGTTAATCGTTCGCCAATCGACTTGACATTTTTTGTTGTTTCAACGCGCGGAACAGTGATTTCATAAAACGTTCGATCGAGCTTGTAAAAGTTTGTTAAACAACATTGAAATAGTAAATTAGGTCGCAACGTTAAGAGGAGAAATATGGGTCGGTGCGTTGCACACACATGTAGGGAGAGTGGTACGGCGGTGACAGAAGGAAAAATGAGGAGAATCGGACGGGTAAGGCGAAAATGGTGGCAGGAACAGGAGAGCGGAGGCGATGCGATTCGATGTGGAGAGAAAGAGAGAAAAGCGGGGACACGAGATCCGGGGGTGGCTGGTTGTGCCGGTGGCTGCATCGATCGTCCCTATGCGCGCGGTAAACCCTCTCCTCCTGCGGACGATACAGTTTCCCTCGTTCCCCTGAAAAATATCATAAATCCTGTTAACGATTAATTACAGCGGCCCGCCTATTTTCAGCCACCCCCTTCCCCTCGCCACGATCTTCCAAATCGATGAAAAATTCAATTATGATGCCAGTTAAACGAAACCTTGGGCGCTCTCGCTATAATCCCTTCCTGTCAATTAATTTCATTTTTAAAGTCTTACCTGTTGGCGCATCCATCGATCGGGCGAAACTTATTTGTAGAAAATCGTTATCGAATTTGTCTTGTATCAACAAACGCTTCCTTTTTTAAGGCTACGGAACAGAATCGTTTCTATTCAATTGTCGTCGTGATACAAACAGGATTGCCATGATACCCGTCGACAAATGGAATTCTTATAGTTAGGGCGTGATGTCGGTGTTTGGAAGATACGTACGTATGATTAAAAAACGAGATGCTCCAATGCGATTTCACAATACGTTTGACCCTGAACAGGATTCCCGAGGGCAGCGAAAGTAGTTCGAGGTCTAACGTCGAGGAATGTTCATCAAGTAGACATTTATCACGAGAACCTTGGCTATCCTTCTTTCCTTTTGGTGTATACCTTGGAAAAGGCGTCCGATCGAATGAACGAAGACGGTGTCAACGAACGATTGCGATAATTGATATCTCTGTTGAATGTTTCTGTGGAACGATGTTGGAAACGTGAGAATGCAATTTATACAAATAGCGTGTTACCTCTGCATAATATAGATCTTAAATGGTTCGGTTTTGGCAACACTCCCCCGCGATTCCACACGTTATTATCAAATAATCGTTTGCCTCGGTGTAACCTGTTGATGCTTTTATCACAGATACTCGAAGCGAGTAGTAGGAAGCATAAACTCGTCTGTACAATTTACAATCAGTTTTACACGAACAATGTAAAATAAGAAAAACCGATCGGAGCGAAATATTTTTTTTATCCGTAAGACGGTGCATCGACTGGTGTCAAGCTTGATTGTTAAAAAGTAGGGAGGGCTGGGATCGGCTCAGCGCGGCGTTCTCAAAGCTGTACGCCAGCAACAAACGATATTTCCGATACAGTGGTTAAGCGTTGGAATCGACATACAGTTCCTTTTTAATTCCTTTGAGAGACAAAAACTTATTGAGACTCGAATGAAATCGGTTGAGTCGAAACTCTGCAGCAATTTCAATTTGCTCCAACGAGTTTGTTAATATTACTACGAGAAGCAAAAGTGAGAAATGATCAGCGCGAAGTTTTAAGAAAATTAATTGATCGAGTAATTTTTTATTTCATTAATCCGTGTTTAATTTCCCAGTTAAAATTTAACGCGAAACTTATACCAAGTACAAAGTTGCTGATAAATTTAATCTGTAAACGTGTAACTGGTTTAACTAGAAAGCGGGAAGGAAATTTATAGTGGACGACGATTACCGGCGGTGTGCAAATTGCAGAAGCACCCTCGGGAGACCCTATCACGGACTACTTTATTTAAATTAACACCCCGACGTGGCACGAAATAATTTTGTCCGTTGTTATACGTATGCGGGCCACGTCGTGTCATGTCGAGCGGCGGGGGATGACAAATAAGTTTCGAGACCGAAGAAATTTCTCTCACGAGATAAAACCTAAATTGAGACCAGAATTGGGGAAGACTCTTAGTACGTCGAATATCTCCAAAATAGTAGATTTGCCATTTTGATCACGGAACGTTTCAATGAACGGCAGTAGAAGGATCATTGAAGTATGGACAGAACGTTCGTACGATTTAGAGACAAACGATTTCTGTTCAACAGAATCGATTCGTGATGAACAAACAGTGATAGTAGGAGTTGGAAAAAGGAAAAAGTCGTCGAGGAGAATGTCGAGGATATCAGAAGGGGTGGACGAGCGCCCCATGGATCCGGGGCTTAAATTTGGCACCACTTGAATGCGAAAGAAGAAGGTGCGTCAGCTGTGTTTGTTACTTTCGTCAAAACTGATGATCTCGGTCGAGTATGATAAGTGGACAAATATTTGTTCGACAGTACAAATGAGCAAAACGCGGGATGGGCAAATCTTGGCTTTCGGCCCTGTTTCCTGCGACGATGACGACGATGACAATGATGGCGTACGTCACTGTAACGACGGCCACCACTACCGTGCCGTCATTCGGCACAACCACCGCCAGTGATATTCACAGCAAAAGGGTAACAACATAAATCAGATTCTTATTTTATTCATCGAATCGCTTCGATCATTTCCATTAAAAATTTTCTATCTATTATTCAAAGTATTTAAAAATATAATTTTTATCAATCGTCAGTGGCTGAAGTTTAATCTGATCGTCCAATAGAAATACCTATAACGTAATTGTAAACGAAGGTAGCGAAGTAGGGTTTAAATTTGTGGAAAATATATTGTAAAATATGATGAAGATGCATGACCCAAAATTGCGTTGGCTCGGCTAAATACAGTGGGCAAACCGATCTGATTTCAAAGGCGGATATCGAGGAAGCACTGGACGTGATAGAAGCGGCTTCGACCGGATCACTGGGCGAAGATTGTGCCACGACAGCTGGTTTTAAATCCTTACCAGCAGCCGTGGCACTTGATCCCCGGCGTTACGATACCGCACGTCAAAAAGCTGACATGACAGCCCTGATGCTCCAGAATCTTGGCACGGTCGGGGTATCAAGGCATAACGGTAAGTCGCTGAGCGTTGATTACTTTGTAACAAAGCCTGTTGGACAAACAACTCCTCCAGATAAAATAAAAGATTTCATTTGAGATTTCCTCCAGTAAACTGCGAGTGATACTTATCATAAAATAAATGGGAAGAAAACTTCTCGATGATGAAATTTCTTCTATACTTTGATTCATAGAATTTTTCTACGTTTTTGTATAAACGATTGATACCGCGAGAAGATCAATGATCATTACGAGTGAAAATGATCTGTGAACATTTATATCGACGGTAAAGGACAGAGACACACTTTTTGGATTGTTTCGTAGCAATCTACGTTAGAGACGTAAAATCGATTTAGCCAATAAACCGAGCACGATGACAGACCACATTGTCAACAGTCCAATTTGTACGGGACCCGGTATATCATCACCCAATCGAATTCCATCCAGATGATAACGAGGATATGTGCACCGAGTTCTATCGATTACCTCCTTAGTCCATCGGAACAGTTAAGTTCTAATCCCAAACCAATACCGTCTCAAAAATTATATCCGAAGCAAAATTTTCAAGTGTATAAAAGTAATTTGATAATAAAAATTGATCGGTTGATAATAAAAATTCGAGAGAATTAAACCGAAATTATGTGGAATAGAATTTGTAATGGATAGAATAATCGGAGAATCGTAATGAGATACTTCTATGATCGTAGCTAATTAGGTCAACGAGGGCCAGGAAACTGCGCAAGAAAGTACCCTGATCGAAAATCCAATGATATACGAGACCACTGGCGTGGCGTAGGCCAATATCTGTTCTTTCCCTTCTTACACAAAATATATATTTATCTCATATACCAATTTAGACGTCCATTCTTATGTCGCGTCAACAAATATATAACATCGAACGACTGACGTTCACATAACAATTCTACTTGAATATTGAACAGCGCTTTTAGACGTGATAGCGAAGTCACTGTTGGTATCGGTGAACGACGCGGTGGAGACGAGGGTGATCGCGCTGAACGCGAGCACGGGCACAGTGATCAGCGCGGTGTGGCTCGAGAGAAGCCTTGGAAGCGTTGGAGAACCGTTCAAGGTCGAGAGCCACGGACTTCAACCGGGATCCGTGCCGGACTCGAATTTGCCGTGGTTCGAAAATGCGGGCGCCACCACAGAATTGAGGTTCGATTTTACCCGGGCACAGATCCGAATGACCGGACCTTTATTATGCACCCCGATGCACGCCCTCGGGCTGATCTCGCGTGGGAACCAAACTGATCGACTTTAAATAGATTGTTCGAGTTCGGTGAAGCTTTCCTCTTAATTGATGCAGAAAATGTTGATCCGATTGGTTCGGCGAGGCTCCTGCTGTCATTCGCTTTCACGTTTCATTTTTCAAAGGGCCTCCTTCATTATTATCGATGACCATGTATCTACGTCTTCACTTTAGCACTTAACAATTTAAGACCAGCCTGCACGCACGCACACGCACAAGCACAAAAATTGTTTCTTTTTGGCACCATCATATTTAATACTTTCTTTTATTCTTCTCGGTAAGCCCAGAAGTCAATGGTAACGCGAAAATGTATTTTGATACTGAGAGATTACGTTTGTTTTTAAACAATCCTTTACCGAGAAGAAGACGAACGTTTCATAGGCGCTCCACGATCATTCATCATCCTTCATCATCTTGTATGAACGTCAAGTCATAGAAACTCGATACGGAACGCGGTAAATCGCGTTTTTACTCTGAAAATAATTCCATACGATTCGAGTTCAAGTTATTTACTGTCTGAACGTTTCAAAATTCATAATTAATTGGCTGCAGTTTAATTGCCGTAACATAAATTTATTTCAATCGGGAATACTTGTTTGCCTATTAATTGAATGCGATATTAAGGTAAACGTGTGCGTCGAGGGAACATAAACATGGTCTCCGTTTTGAAGGGGAACATAAATGCTTAAACAGACATCTACGATAATCAATATGCCATCGGGGAGTATCGTTAAAGGCTTTTTATTACTTGCACGTGAACGTGTGTACGATGTCAGGATATTTATAGCTTACACGAACCGTAAAACAAACCGTCGTTGCGTTCTGATGTAAAGCAATTATTACGCACGCAATCATAGAACGAAGAACGGGTAGGTAGTAGGTATCAGTTTCCATTGAAACAAAAGCATGATTCTCTAAAATTAGCAATCCAATTTATGATAAAAGAAAAAAGTTTGTTGTTGCTCGTTTAACGAATATTATTAGATTAAAGTTTCCTGTAACTCTGATAATTACAATTTTGTATTACGTAAACCATAGACAGACTTTGAAATTCCGAAAGACACTGCACCAGTCTATTAATAAACGTTGCCCTTTGGAGGTAAATAATGCTATATAAGACGTTCTACTCCACTTTCAAAGTTTAAAAATAACCAACTCCAGAGAATTTGTGATAATAAACATTCGAATAACAAGTTTATTTTACCGCAAAGTACATTTTTATCAAATAAATTGTTTATTAAAAATTAGACGTTGACACGTTCAGATGGTAATTATTTAGAAGTAGGATCGGTATACGGATGACCGTGAAGTGCCAGGAGGGAGAGTCAAGATGAAATTGGCGGAGGAAGAATAACTTGTGCGATAACGGGGAACGTTGCACGAAAATCACGTGTGTTAACAAGAGAATCGAGGTTTCTATGGCGGTTTGTGGCGTTTGCGTGTTATCCCAGGTCACCGAAATTCATGCAGTCACCGGCGATTGAATCCTACAGGGGTTGGTGGACCATCCCGTATTTCTCCTGCAAAAGTCACCGCTGGTTGATTTCGTACAGCGTTAACGTACGGCCGCCGGACGATCGCCACGGGTTCGTATCGATCGTTGCATTTGCAAAAGTCTGACGAAACGATTAGAGATAGTCAATTAAACAGGTGAACGCTCGACGTTAACGAAATTCTGTTATGTTGAAGGGTTCGAGAGTTCTTAAGTATAGATATCGATATAAGCGGATTAGAGGTAAATCAGTGCGACGCGTCGCTGCACATCGAGGACACCGATGTTCTAAGTAATCAAATAGCATCTTTTAAAGGCACGCATAAATGTCATACCGACACCACGCAGGTAATTCCCTACCTAATTCAGCTATACATTTTTATACTGAACGTTAAACGTGTTAAAAGAAAATTATGCGTGCGATGCAGCGCGTCGGACGCGCAGATTGTACTGCTGATAATGATTAACATTCCGTAGTGCGAGTATCAAAGCCCGAGCAATCGCATAAATGAAAACGGCGTCGGTGCCGGTTGGGCGAAGGGTGCGTACGTGTGCAGATGTCGGAAGGGTTACTACAGCACCACTCAGCAATCCGTGTTCGATGGAATTCTCGTCGAAGGTCAGTAAACCAGTTTCAATCCTAGGGATAAAACGATTAATTGATTCGCATGATTTCTCAGCCGCTTGGAAGGAATTGAAGGAGAACATAAGCGACTCGTACGAGAAGGTGTTCCGATGCTTACGCTGTGCGCCAGGATGTGCCAAGTGCAAAGGACCCGAACCCTGTCTAGCTACCTACAACTGGCCCTTCCGGTATTTTTATTATACATGTTTTCTATTTAAGTAAATAATCATTTAAAATATAGAATCGTTATCCCATGATCATTAAACATCACATAAATATTAATTATTTAAGAATAATTATAATAGTGTGAATAATAATAAATTAGCTGTTAATCGAATAGCTATATAAATTTTAGAATTAAAATTAGACAGTGAATTTTATACAAACTTGGCGAGATCTGTCGAGTTACAAGTCGGAGGGATGTGAAATGATTTCAGAATCTCGCTCCTGTCGTTTTCCATTTTTTGTGTATTCGGTACCATAATCCTGGTGGCCTATATGTATCAACATCGTAAGCTGAAAGTGTTCAAGGTTGCCTCGCCGATATTTCTGTCTATTACGCTTTCGGGTTGTGCCATCATGTACCTCGAAGTACGTACCCACTTTATTTTCACGACTGTCTTTGCGTCTTCGCACGAAACTAACGGCACAGACACATCCGTATTTAGATGGCTGCTATATTTCCGGTCCTGGATATGTATTCCTGTATCGCCACGAAATGGACGAGGCATCTCGGCTTTTGCATTTCTTACACCGCGTTGTTAATGAAAACCTGGCGGTAATTATAATACCAACAATTTCATTGAATCATACATAGAGCATTCGATGTTAACAATACAGACGGTGCATCCTCTGGTTCATTTTTATACAATTTTTAGAGTCTCTCTCACGTACCGTGTGAAAAGCGCGCACAAAGTGAAGCTGACGGACAAGCAACTATTACAATGGATGGTCCCGATCTTGTTGGTGATGCTAATTTATCTCGGCACGTGGACCCTAAGCGCGCCACCATACGCCGAAGTGATAGCTGACAATTATGGTCTGAAATTCTACCAATGCTCATTCAACTGGTGGGACCATAGTTTAGCAATCGGTATTTAACGATAAAATAAATAAATATAACGATTTAAATACGATCGATTATAGTAATAATCGAAACACGAATGTGCTCTCCTTCTCTTTCCTTTAGGAGAAATTCTATTCCTCGCATGGGGCATTAAAGTCTGTTACAACGTTCGCAACGCGGAGAGCCTTTTCAACGAGGCCCGATTAATAAGCTACGCTATTTACAATATAGCAGCTGTGAATATCACCATGATCGCCATTCAGTATGATATCTTGCTTTCTTATTATTGTAATATTATCTCGTATTGTAACTAAAACTATTTTAAATTGTAATCTCTTGCTCGCAGTCTTTTCATTTTCCCTCATGCCGGTCCGGACATCAAGTATCTGTTGGGCTTTCTACGTACGCAATTATCCACTTCCGTCACTGTATTCCTTGTATTCGGCCCCAAGGTAACGAGTCTCTTGCACTTGAATTTAAATAGTAATCGAAATTACATCTACTGCATAAAATGAAATTAATTCTCTTTCTCTCGTTGATAAACGATGTGTCTGGCAGGTGATTCGAGTTTTGCGTGGTCAAGGAGACCAATGGGACAGCCGCGCGAGGGCTCGCGGTGTCACAGCGAGCTTCTCGTTAAACGGAATCGGTCTGGTATCTGAGGAAACGACGGATCTGCATCAAGAAAACGAGGAATTGAAGGTTCGATTTTTCTATAAAACCATTCTACCGATTCTGTGAATGATTCAGTGAAAATAGAACAGCACGATCAATACTTGGACTTGATCTGTACAGGAAGAGATTCAGAAGTTGGCAGCGCAGATCGAGTTCATGAAGATCGTGCACATGGAAATGTACAATCGTCACATAAAACCGAAAGCAGGTGGTTATTTCACTACCCACGGGCACGGGCACAATCATCCGTCCTCGACTCAGAGTCCCATCGCCAAGAGCTCGACTGCCAGTTTTATATTGAAAGTATGTACCTAACACGACCCATTCACGATCCTCTTTAAGGATGTATTGGCTATACAGTCAATCCCAAAAGTTTATGCACTTTAGAAA